GGCAGGGGCATGGGGCTCCATCCCCACCCGCTCACCCTATCATTCTTGACAGGCAATTGGCTAGTAGTAAAATGTGGCCATGCAGATTTCTTCCCCAGCCTGGTAAATTCTCACTGTGCTGTACAGCATTTAAAGGAGCACATCAAACTGAGGTGTAATCTACTAATACCTTATGCTTGGGACCCACCCAAGTCAAGATGGTAGGTGGATGATTTCACAAGCTGCTTGTGGCACTGGCCACCATTTTCACAGGCTTATCACAGAGGTGCCCCCCCACCCACCATGCCTCCAATTGGCCAAGGAGCCCCAGCAGTCCCCCTCCTCACCATAGATTGGCAGATGGCCTGAAACTGTGGCATAATTACCCTGATTAAGCCTGCAGAAGCCATTAATTAATGTGCTACTAAGCAATCTAAGCATTCAGTTAAACTCTAAACTGAAATGTCTTATGAAATTCAAGCTATATGCATGATGAATTGTAACTAATACCATCATTTTACTTTTTTAATGACCTTGTAGAAAGGAGTTCAGCAATATTCAATGCTAGCCCTGAGACAGGCAATTCATGCTAGCTGTTAAAGGCGAGACAGCAGCTGCTGCTGACACCCTCTGTCTCTGTGGGGGTGAACACTTGTCTGTTACAGTGGGATTGCATGCTCAGAATCCACTTAGCTGGTTGGAATGGTGAGGCAGCATTTTGCCAGGGCGTACAGATGTGGTCACAAACAGTCACAAACATAGGCACAGGCATCCTGCACTCTTTGACAAAGTTCAGATAAGCAGCACATTCCTTGTCATGCTCTTTCTGCCACCAGATATTGATTTCACTAGCTGAGGGTTACAACTCAGAACAGGCACGTGGTTGTGGTCCAAAATACAAAGAGCACTAAATAAAAGAAGCCAGCTGGTTGTCTGAACAATGGTGGCAGTGATGAGTCACACCTGTAGTACTGGTGGCATGGTGGCAGTGATGAGTCACACCTGTAGTACTGGTTTAGATTCACAGCTACTGCCTGAAACAGGTCCCTTCCCTGCTGGTTTTCATGATGACAGCTTGACAGTTCTTGTGATGCCATGTCTTTGACCCAATTTATCAAAACCATCAGCTTGTTGTGTGTGTGGTGGATCGAAGCCTGCTGGGTTTCTAACCACATTAGGAGCTCCATGAACCGGGCTGCATTTTCTGCCACAAATTTAACTTAATCTTGAATGTCTCCCTGTTCCAGGAGATTGTGTAGCTTAAGCATGCACTGTGTGCTGGGTGTGATTTCCAGCTCCTCGCACACAAACTGTCAGTACTACTGCATATGCTTGGCATGGTAATGGATCGCTCTGAACTACAAATCCCACCTTATGACCACAGGGTCAGTGTCATGGTTGCATATGGTTTGACTGGACAGGGACTTCCTGTACTGGAACTTATGGCCTGGACAGTGCTTGAAGGCCTTCTTGAAGGAGGACACCAGGTTATCCACATCAGGGAACTGCACGTGCCAAATGTAACTTACTAAAGACAGAATGTGTGCTTTGCAGGTTACATTAACTGTGTTGGGCATCATACCACAGAGCGCATAAGAGAAAGTCTGGCACATATACATGGCACTATCTGACACAAATGCTGAGATCTTATTAAATTATAAGCCACAGTTGACAACTGCCTTCATTACAGCCAGAGAGACACTAGAAAAATTGACAGATGTGAGGTGGACTGGCTCTGTTTGACAAACAGGCAGGTCCTGGTCTGTCCAGCTCCCAGGTACAAATAAAATGTTCAGCACATAGTTATCTTGAAGGTCAGTGGCTTCACTGGCCACAATGTAGAAGGATTCATATTTTGCCATTGCAGACTTAGTGGTCTGTACACATCAAGAAATCACTGCAGGGAGACAGTCTAGGCGAAGCTTGCTCGCACATGGAAAACTGCCAGCATTCAGCACGTTTTCATTCAGGTAGCCCCTTAATTTAGAGTGATCAGGTTTCTCCAGTGGGATGCTCGCTGCTGCGAAAGCCTGCACAAGGGAAAATGGCAAACTGCTTTCCACGGTCCTTTTAAAGAGCTAAGTCACTTCTTTCCTGCTCTGACCTTCACGCTGCAGCAGCCTTTTCCTTCACATGTGCCTTGGACTCTAAGTATTGATTCATACTGGTTTTCCTCAACACATCCAGAGACACGCTGCAGGTGGTACAAAACAGTCTTCCTCTATCTGCGTGCATGGATACTGCCTTGAATGGTCCAGAGCTGAAACATAGTTAGCCTTCTTGGAGGATTTCTTCTCACTATTTATCCAGTTCAATCCTTCTCAGGCTGCAGCAGTATGCCTCTGGTTGTTTAAAAGATGGCGCTGAAACCCTGTCACTTCCCTGACTAGCCCTGGACTGGCGCCTGTACTAAGCCAATATCACAGGCTCAACCTCTCATTTGCTCCCTCTAACGCCCAACCCCTCCCCTCTGGTGATTCAAGGCTGCAGGTCTTCCTGCCTTTTTCTCTGCTTGATGGTAAGTTTGCTTTTGCTTTTTTGCACTGAGCCCATCAAAATCGCAAAGCCCACCGGTCTTCACGAAAAACACCTGATTTTGCATTTTCTGAGAAAAACACGAAATCACAATTTCAGTAGGTCCCTATTTATGCTTTGTAACACGCTGTTAACAATATTCTAAATTCAACCTATGTCTGCACATATTAGAACAGTAAGAAGCAATTTTCTCATTGGCACAATTCATTTTTTGCCATTATAAGCAGCTGAAATGTGTCTGTTAAGAAAAAAAAATCCTTGATAAAAGCAAAGAAGGGAACCTGAGCAAGAAGGCTCTTTTAATATAAATTGTTAGTTTATGTGACAGGAAGAAGTACATCTCCAACTGTCACATACGATTTCTGGAAACTGAAAATTATGTGGCTTAGAGTCTGTTCTCTGGAACAACTTGCCAGTTTGAAAGTCAGTTTTAATTCTAAACCAAATTAAATTAATTCCATTTAAAAGCAGCATTATTTTTTGCTCACAGAAAAGAAGTATTTCTTGCTCTACAGAACAATGAACATTGCAGGGATGGTATAAAAACATGGATAATATGCACATGACCATGCTACTCAACACCCAAATTGAGTCATATTAAGTGTAAAATCAGTTTCTTCCCCTTCCCCTCCTTACTTTTTGCCAAAAAAGTACGCTTTTCAACTTTTACAATTCACATACCAATCCTGTAAAACAGATAAGAGCTGTATACCTTCACTTTGATCTAACAATCACTTAAAATCTTCATCAGGAAAAAAGGTGCTGTGCACTTCAGACAAATCCAGAATAGAATCTAAACATATGAATAGCTCCACTGAAACCAATGAAACTAAGCATATTATTATTGTTGTTGTTGCTATTATTAAAGGTAAGAACATGTTTAAGTGATTGAGGGAAATTTAATATGTAGGAAACTGTTTTTGAAAAGAGAATTTTGCAGAGTCAATATAGATATATAATACTTCTTCTTACTATAAGTTTAGTGGCCACATGAGTCAGTGGAAATATTAATTCATTAAAAAATAAAATTCCACAAGGCATTCACACACACCACATTACTAAAACAACTACTAGAGCACACTATTCAGCTGCATCAGTTATATATTGCTTGTTAGGAATCCATGTGCTTAAATTAAGCTGCAACTGTATGGTAAAAGATCATTTGTTATTTGTGCCATAAATTTCATGTACAGTAGTATATTTAGTAATATATTAGTAAAATGTTATTACACTTCCTTTTTCCTAAAGACTCAAACAATGAGTCTAAATAGGGTCCCAGAAGGCAGAGCACTAAAAAGAAGTCAGAAACCTTCTACATTGACAAGCATGTCTTCTTTTACCTCCAAAATCAGAGGATTATGAAAATAAAAATAAATATATAACACATACTTCTCACCTAATTAAGATTAACAGCTGCTCATCTTAAAAATTCAAACTGTTGCACTGAGGTAAATGGATATGGTTTTAAAAAGCATGAAGATAATACACCTGTTTAAATTACCAATACAGAATCAAAATCCTCCAGGGATTATCAAAAATCCCCATGTTTGAGCATTGGTATCAATGTATATAAAAGGAACCTGAAGATAACTTATGCCTTGTAAGGTAAGAATAATTTATTCTTCAAATTGCCTTCTACATAGATATGATTGATGGATACACTGTGCCAAAGACACTTTTACTTCCATGCCACAACTTTTTCTAACTACATCCAAAATGCAACCAACATGTACCTACTGAGTTATTCACTTCTCCTTGTACTTCAAGCCTCAGTAATTTTTTTCTATCCAAGATATAAACTACCTCAAAGTTGCAGTAGAATTTGGCACTACCAGTTTATCTTTTCTATTGACCATATTTGGGCAAACAGATTGCGACTGTATATGAACTTCAGACTCACAGAATAATACTTGTGGAATCACTAAAAATGAAACAATCCTACCTTGGATTTTCAAAGGACTCCAAAGGGGCCACAGTGCCCAATCCACCTGAAATTCACTGGGATTCAACTATTTACCTCCTCCTCTATTCACATCCCAGCCCAGATTTAAAATAATACAGCCGTTCTAATTCATACCAATAAGGAAGAAATTTAATGCAATGGTCATGGTCTTTAAATTAACAAGTAACCTCATAAGAAAAAATGCAAAATTTAAGAGTTTTTCAGCCATTTACTTGACAGTTTGACCTACTTCTGTGATCACAACAACAAACCTACTCACTGTATTCATATGCCTGTAATTTTCTATGATATCTTTTAGGCTGATGTCATCCTTTGTTAATATTTTGAAAGGGAATCTTTTGAAAACTGTGATCAAAAATCATTTCAGCCATTCTGAAATTGTCAGAAGTCAGAAAAATATATTTACATGGTTGGGGTAAAAAACATAAACAGAAAATCCATGAACAGTGAATTATTAGATTACAGAATGAGAAAAGAATAAAAGATATTGAGACTGCAGGAAGCTCTCCCAAATACACAGTACCTCCTGGGATCTTGTCTCCCTAATCGTTTCTTGCTTCTGACACTGATACACTAGCAGGCCCCGAACCGATCACATCTGGCGTTCAGCA